CAAAAAAGCTGCACCAGCAACTCAACTTGGACTTGACATGAGGTCTTTTAAAAAAAACACAACTTGTGACTTGGAAACATTTTTGGGATGGGCCTCCCTACCGGCTGCCGCCACTGCCATCATCCTCAGAGGCAGCAGGCCTGGCTTCCCTCCCAGCAGCTGGGCCTGCTGCCTCCACCCCCACCCTCACCACACAGTGGATAGGCCGGCGCAGAGGCAGAGGCCAGCTCTAGGAAGGGAAGTCAGCCCACTGTCTCGCTGCAGGCACATGGGCCCACCCAGCGTCCCTTACAGACCTGTGGCCTCCGTGCATGCGCTGGCCTATCAACTGGGTGGTGCACAGGCAGTCAAAGTCTTTTGTCCAAGTCTCAAGTCCCAAGCCTGGGGGGGGCAGGGAAAACCCCTCAAGATTTGGACTTGAGGCTCAGGCGCAAAGACTTGCCAACATCCCTGATAATAGGAAATATCTACATATATGTGGAGTTTTCAGAATGGTTCAGTTTTTAAAAGAAAGCTGGATTTTCTTCAAGAGAAAATGTGGGACAATTGCTATGAAAAACACAGCTATCTACACAACAACATTGACACAACTCCTGTATAATGAACTGAAGTGTGGTCCTTCCACAAAAAGAAAAAAAGGTATACTTCCAGGTAGAAAGCTTCTTTAAAACTACAACAACTATCTATTACTACTATAGTGAGCTGTTCAGCTTTTGGGTTTTATTATTTTAATTTTTTTATTGAAGCATTTGGCAATACATGGCCTTTTGCTTTTGGAAAGGAAGGATCAATAAAAAGCACATTTGCTTTTCTTGAGGTACGTAATTTACCACATAGTTCTAGTTCCCTACAAAAACATTTGCCCTTACTAATGAAAAACAACTGCATCTTTACAGTGCTCAAAACGGATGGTCAGCTTACAACTCAGAGAAGATTACCATTTGGTTCAATTGCTTCAATGTTTGTAAGTAGAATTTAAATATGAAACTTGTAATTAGAGTTTGTTTGTATTCAGATATTCCTTCTGGAGTGGTGTCCAGGACCGAAAGTTCCTCAGAAACTAGCCTGCAAGCTTCTTCTAGGGTATTTTTATTCCAGTTCCTGTACACAGAAAAAATACATTAATAATGCAGAACTTGGGTGGTATTTTAAGACTTTTTGCAAGCCCAGTCCTACTGAACCCTGGAAAATTGTGATTCATCAACTTAAAAGCTGTGTTGATTATATGCAAATTTGGCAGGGGGCTTTTGGATTGGGGGGGGCTGCACTTCCCAGAATGTGTGTAAATGCTGGAGAAAGAAACTACACAACCTTCAAAGCAAAATAAGCCAACACCTCCGTATTGGTACATTGCTACTGCTTTGTCAGCCAAACTGAGCTTCTTTCCTTGGCCCTCCCCTCTGCAGGTCTCAGAGGTGCCTCAGGAAAGGATCTGGAGGGTTCCTCGGGGCTCAAAAGCAGCTTTTTGAGGTGCAGCAGAAGGCCACGGAGGAAACGAGACATTACCCTCCAATTGCCAAGTCTCTCAGAACAACTCCAGCATTCAATCTTGCTGAAACAAGCTACTGAATGAATCAGCCCAAGAACAAACCTTTCAAAATCGTAAGAGATTTTGAATAAAGCAGGAAGTGGGAGAAGAAAACTGTGGTGCCATTTGGGCTGATATCACAAGCACTGCCCAATGGACACTTGCAATACCAGCATAAACAGTACAGGATATGTAGCTCACTGAGGAATTATTCTTTGCCAGACCTTGCATGCTGCTTTCTTTCAAAGAGGAAAATTTATATGGACACAGGCATAAGAAGGTAACACATACATTTTTTAAAAAGAAAGGGTCTATTAGAAAATAATACAATTGGGAATTTGCTAGGCTGCCTACAGATCTTTTCTACAGAGCAAATGTGAATTATGTACCCCAACAGAAGTGATAACATATTAATTCATCTGTTGATACAGAGTTAAAATCAGTTCTTAGACCCTCTTCAAATGTGACGATTTTTCTACATGGATAAACCCTGTACATAAGGAGAAGAGGCTGTAGAAATGACATACGAGGGGCTCGTCAAATCCAGCTTTCATCAAAAGGCAAAAACAACATAACATCTTCAGCAAGAAACACAACACAACACAAAAGCAAAAAAAGACAAAGTGAATGTGTTCACAAAAGCTATATTAAAATAGAACCGTCTTTTAGGTGCCACAACATCTTTCTTCTTCTTCTTTGCTTTGTGTTTCTTGTTGAAATGTTTGCAAAGGATAACACAGTGACCACTTTGACCATCTTGCCTGTCATTTCCACTGGCTCCCAGTGACCCCATTAAAGCCAGCAGAGGCTGGCAGAACTTTGGCACTGATACGTGCATTCATGAATAAATGCTCACTTTACCTTCCTAGAAGCAACTGACAAGATTTCTTTGCACTGACTGTGGTGGAAGCAATGCCTCCATAAAAAATGCTTAAGTCGGTAATAACAGCTGAATCCGGTTTAAACAAAATCCTCATTCCAGCATTGACAATAGGCAGGGCATTTTCCCGCCGCTGGGCCTGGCGGAAGGCTGACACAAGCTCACCCTGAGAGGAAAGAAAGGAAGCTTAATTAGGCATTCTTTTCAACCACGATTCACAATACTTATATCCTCCAAGGTTGTGAACGGTCCTGGTACCACTTTATGAAATATTAACATCAATGTTCATTTTTAGAAACATATGAATAATAGCCTTCCAGAAGGCACTTAAAAGACATCTCCCTAAAGTGTGGCTTCACACCTTGCAAAAAACTGCGGGGTGGGGGAAATCGTTGGGCAAAAGGTGGGATTTTATTTACTCTTTGAAATGAAGAAATGACCAAGGAAAGTAGAACAACAGACAGACAAGTCCCACATGCATATTCTATCAACTATGTAAATGAGCCCTAAGGTAGAAGAACAAAGGAAATATGGGGAAGAAGGAAGGCCAAGCAATGGCTACCAATGAAGCAAGACCTTCGTGGCTGCTTATTAGCTCTTCTGTATCTCAGCATCAGGACAGGAAGCCTTGGTAATGGTCTTTCCTTACATGATGAAAAAAAGGTAGGATATAAACATTTTTTGAAACAATTTGTTAAGAATTAATGTATTGCTTCTGATTTATTAAAATGTACAACAATGATTTTGAAAGGAATGTTAATTATTAAGCATTAATAGCATTATATTTGAGCACTGAGTATAGCATTATATTCATTGAGCATATAGCAAGGTGCATTAAATTTTGTCTTTAATTTAGATCATGACTGGTCATATCTAGGCATTTCAAATGATTGGTTAGAGTGAATAATTTAATAACAAAGTAAATGTTATCTTTTTTTGTACAATTTCAGTTTTCACAGATTAATTTCCTTTAAACTCAACACTTTATCACTAATGCTAATTTTGTTCTCAGCTACCTTGAATTTGAATTTGGGGAAATTAGGATATAAATAAATAAATTATATGTTCAAATTATGGGACATAAATATAATAAATAAATACTTCCACTTAGCTGAACACAAAAGGTCAAGACACCCAGGGCAATAAAAATTAAATAAAATCCTTACCTTCTCTGAGTAAGGGATATAAACTGACAATAAAACCTCATCTGGCGCGAGAACAGCATTTTCAATCCCATTCAAGAAGTCTTCGTTCAATGGAATTTGCCGAGTTCCACCTGCAGAATAAACTGCTTTACTAGAAGATACAGTCTGTCCTTTTGCTATCTGAGATATTTATTTATGAACATATTTACACAGAATTGCAGGACAAGACAAAACCAGTCGTGATGTGCCCCTTCTTATAGGATTTGAACAGTATTCCCAACCCAGAAAATGCTGTTTAATTGTAACAGATAAGCAAGAATTGGCTTTGTCAGTCCGTACGTACGTAAAGATACCAGATTCAGAACACAGCGGCCAACAGCAAGAACAGGATTCAGGTCTGAGGATGGATGTCTCCTGATGATGTTACCTCCTAAACTCTGAAGGGAGAAGGAAGTGATTTTTACACTCCATTTTCCATAAAGATAACTCAGCATCTATTTTGGAGGCCAATAAGAATATGCTAAGTACATGAATAAAATGGAAATGACCTGTACTAAGAAAAGGAACATTCAATCACTCTGAGTAAAGAAACACCAACTATTGAAAATTTTCGAATCTGTTCATTTAGTTGATACCAGAAACATACAGCAATGTTCCTGATCTGCTGTCCACCCAGATGTTTTAATTGCTTCAGGAGGGCACGGAAGATCTCTGCTTTCTCCCATGGTAGATCTGAGACAGCCTGGGTCAAGATGGCTTTCGTTAAGGACAAGCTGCAGGCAGCTCCTAGTGTCAGGCCTGTGACAAGAAAGACATGTTAAGCAGTGATACTCAGGTATCTAGCTATAAAAACATGTATATCTCTCTTGCTGTGACTACCCAGTTGGACATCAACCTGAAAAACACTTCCAGAATGCAGAAGTCATAGTATGTCTAAAACGCCCTGATCAAGCAGCTTTGAAAGAGATCAGGGAAATGCTGAAGAGACAACAGAAGAGGAAACATTCACCTGTTTTTGAGAAAATCACAGCATTCAGATCAAAAATCCTAGAAGGAGAGATGATAACTGGATGAGAAGCATCTTTAAATTTCATGTTGAGTCCTAATAAAAACAATACAGAAAAGTTACTAGCATAAGATAGATCCAGACATCAAGTGAAGATGCTAAAATGGAGTGGAAATGGCAGCCACACCTCCAGCCTCCACAGAAACACTGCCAAAACACAACAGTTAGGGGCTGGGGCTCCTAATTTCTCATGTCTGCAGAGAACCCATCATAGCCTGATGAACTCACAACACCCTGGCCCCACCACAATTCTTTGATTCACAACACATGTAGCGATACTGCACTGAACATCCATTCTGTGAGCAACTATGGCCTAGAATGCCACCACTCTGTTACAACAAGACTGCAGGCACTCCGTCAGGCGGGAGCTTGACTCCTATTACGTTGCTCACAATGTGGTTTTGGAACACAATACTCAGCAAGGACGGGTAGGTGGGGCTCGTTAGCCATGGAAGGCAGCCCATCTAGGAGAAGGAAAACTCCGATTTCAAACCTTCACTGCCTTGTGGCTATATCCACTCATGGAAAAGGCTTCAGGAGTTAACCTCGAGGCCAAATCCAGAGCTGGAGTCCCGAAGGCAGTTCGTGTCGTTCTGCCAACTCCTGCGACGTCGCTGGAACCAGTTGTATTGGCTCTTGCCTTTCCATTGGACCATTTCAGCAATGTGGAGAGGGGGGATCTGCTGCTTGGGTAACAGCCTATCCTCCATATTACCTTGCCCGGGCTTCATGCTCTGGAGAGGACACTCCTCAATTCAGAGCATGTTACCATAGTCTCTCGAGACTGAAGGATGCCTATGCTACTCAGCAAGGAGAATAAAACACAGGATACACATGCCTTGACAAATGTCTTGTAGAGAGTGTGCAGCAATCCTTGGGGACAAAAACTCACACAGGGAAGGAAGCAGCTAAAGGGGGTTCATTGACACATCTTGAGAATAGTAACTTTCAGTGGTTCATTGCACAAACCATGAGGTTTTGTCTGGTACAGTAGCTGCACCAGTGCCACAGTATCTGAGCATTGTGTTGTCATAACTGGGGGGGGGGGGGGCCGATAATCAACATAGTAGAACTTCTGTTCTATTTGGTCAGCTCCTAGTCATATTGTCAATGTATTGCCATAAGTTCAAAATAAAATTTATTCTGCATAGATGCCTTTTAATTGACTCTTTTTAGCATTGCAACAGTTGGGAGCCAGTGAACAACTAGTCGATTGTCCGCTTTTTACAAGAAACTTTGGAAGTGATAGGAACATCTAAGCAGTCTTAGAATCTTCACAGAATTTCTCAGAGCAATCTCAAACATTAATAAAGGTCACAACATAAAATAAGCATGGCTTCTGGGAGGTTATTTGAGTTTTCATTAAAGCCAACACTTGTTTTTATTGATATTGCTGCTGTAATTACCAACAACTGTATTTCCCACTACAAGAGGTGCTTTGGGAAATTTGGATTTCAGCTCTAGCACTTCCTTTAGAGTCACTGGAGAAATCCATGTTGTCCTTTGTCCATGGAAAACTAGAGTTCTTTTATGCTGGTCAGTAGCCATTAACTATAAAGGAAAAATTATAGAGTTAACATTTAAAACACAAACACAACTCTTTCAGAGAAAGGTTCTCAGAATCCTTCAGACATTTTTAACTCTTCCCAGCTAAACCAAATATCTTCTGGGATGGAGATTCATATCCTTCCCTTTTCCTGCTGTGGCACAGTTAAGCAGTAGAACTTTGAAAATATTAAATTCTGATTTGAACTAACTGCACTAACCTGGAATAAACTGCATCACTCTTAATTCTAGTTAGTTGAAACAAGCTTATTTCAAAACACAGTTTATATGGCTGCTAACTGTAATTAAGATTAACCACACTGAGTCTTAGAAGTGAGAAGTTAAAGCTTGCAGTCTTTTTGCGGCTGTCCAGGAATATAAAAGGAATGTGTGGGGACATAGCAACTAATCACCAGCTCATATCGTTTGGAGCTGATAACTGGCTTGATCATTTCCAGCCCAATTCAGGGCTGCATTTCACATTTGCACAACTGCCATTTGCATTGAGGGGAAGATATTTTCAGGTGCAAACTGTGGACTTTCCTCCTATGCAAAGAAGCCAGCTAAGGTGCCTCGAATAGCGCTACAATAGGCACACAACTAAAGCTCTCTAACCCCAAGTCCACAACTTGAATCTGAATCTGAGGCCCTGTGGAGAGAAACGTCTTGTGCTAAAGAGCAAATCATGAAACTGAGGTAGAAAGAGGGGAAATCTATCTTTTTTTTCAAACTATTGTGGTCATTAGGGTATTCCGTAAACAAAAACAGTTAACTTGCCCATCTTTTCTAATGCAATGTGCTATTTAGGCTTTAGATACTCGAAGTACAGTAGTCAGTGGGGAGGCATTATTAGTCATATCAATGACCTCTGCCTTTCTAGGAAAGCTTTCTGAGTACTCTTGAGAAGCTTAGTGGCACAGCATGAATAAAGCAGCACAGTCTTACGTAGTTATGTACAGCACACCTAAGCCCACCAATGCCAGGGGCTCTGTGTTGGATCTGGCTCTTAATGGGAGCTACTGACATAATTTAGGATATATTCAGTTCAGGAGACTGAAGGCAAGAGATTCCCATCTTACTATCAGCTCAGGTGGAAAAGTAGGTTTCTGGGTTGAATCCTGTGTTTGGAATTCTTCTGCTATGAAGAGCTTTCTGCAAATCTGTAAGACACAGAAACAATACGTTATTATGTGGGCAAGAGTACCCAAACCGCTCTTTGAATTCCTCTCAGTAAGCACCTAGCAACCTGGATGCTACCTCTGAGAATTTTAGACTATTATGCATTGCAGGGCCAGATTAAGACCTTTAAAGGCCCTAATCACTGAAAAGACTATGGTGTCCCTTACGGATATAACATGTGGCAGGTCCCATGACTTGAAAAAAAAACCATATAGTGCAAACATTATATGCAGGAAAATATGGTAATTTAATTGTGTAACATGTGGCAAGAAAGAGCCATATATTACATGCCAAATTATATGTACAATCAAATTACTGGCTTCCAGCCCAATCTTGCACTTTCACACTTTAATTAACATATGTCCTGCCTTTTGGGGCATTTTTCACAGTGGCTGTTATTTCTTTGGCTTGCACATATAGCGTAGAAGCCATGAGTCTAAAAACGTGGAGTAAGGAGTAAGCATGCAAGCATGGAGAATGTGGCATAATTCCAGAGAAACAAAGGCAGGGCATAGACAAAATTGTGTTGAAGGAGTTTTATCTTTCTAAGACTTACCCCTTACAATTCTTATAGTGAACATAAATGCACAAAAACAGACACATACGTCATTTTGTTCATAGGAAGAGAAGCTTTCCTCTATGTCCAAGCAACAGTTTATTTTCTCCTTTATGTTACAAGATTGAAAGTCCTAAAGAAAGAATCAGAATTTATTGTTAACATGGTAAATCTATGAAACGTCTGATTTGATATTTTTGCCTGGGACTTCACTCGAAGTGCAACGAACTCAGACTCAGCTTTGAGTACTTTTTTCTTGTAGCCAGTAGAATACTGGAATACAAAATAACCCCTTACTTTTTTTTCTTTTCTTCTTCTTTTTGTGCAAGCCATGATACCAAAAAGCAGGAGTGACATTTCTGGTTGTCAATATATTTACCTCATTTGTGGGAGACACTGCAATTCATAACAGATTTTAGAAATGCAAGACCCCCTAACCATTTCCTAGTATATTGCAATTCCCTTGGGATCAGGAAATACCTCAGAAGTCACTCAATATCATTTTTTTTCATTGGAACACGAACACACAAAGACACAAAGACACCTCCCACACCAAAGTCAATCATTGCAGTTGCTGAAAATCTCTACAGTTTTCACACGTTATATTGCTATGGCTGAAACCCTGTTTTGTAAGTTGTGCGAAACCAGCCATGGAGACTTTTCCAAAAATTAAACATTTCTGATCACCCTGAAACTCTTCTAGAATCCCTTTCATTGTGGGAAAGTCATTGTCAGCTGCAGGACAGGAGAGAAGTCTTTAATTTCTGAAAACTGTCACTGCCACAATGACTTAACTGGGGGTTCCAGCGGAGCATTGGGACTTTCAAGTGAAACCTTTTTTTAAAAAGTAGTCCCAAAAATTGCCACAGATGGTGACTTCTCCACCTTTACATGGTATATCTGCTCAAACAGGATTTCAACTTTTGTATTACATAGGAATCCAAGCCGTTGGTTCTCTGCTAGTGTCTGAAATGTATGCTTTGCTATTTCTAGGATATTTGTTCAGCCTTACAAAATTTAATTTAGTTCTTTTTAAAAATGTGTACTGTATTGGCAAAGAGACAGAGGAATACGCCAGATCATGTAACCAGGAGAATGCCCCCCCGCAAAAAAAACCTTACCTTTGTTTTACAGAAGGTCTTGCAGCCTTCAACTATTGGCCTGTATCCTGTACAACGGCAGAGATTGCCTTAAGGAAGGAAGAGCATAATAAAGTTAGCAACTGAAATTCTTATTTCACAACAGAACTGCCATCTTTTCTGGACAACTCTTTCCAAGAGGGGATTTAAATTGGTCATTCACTCTGAAGTTTAAATGGGATTTGCCACAAGCAACAATGAATTATAAGCTGGTGACTACACAACACAAAGATAAGCCCAGGGAAGCTTGGTGGGAAATCATCACTTTTTAGTGGAAAGTTGTCTTTTTTAAAAAATATAGCCAGCAGGGGTGACTTAAATGTGCTCCAGTTCACTGGCATTGCTTTTCCTCACTTTCGACTCTGTGTGATTGCCTGAATGATTGGATGTCAGTTTCCTTCTATTGAGGTCCTGTTATTTGTTTGTTTGTTTTATTTAAAGGCCACCTTTCCCTTGCTGCCTCCAAACAGTGCTTTTTCCCCCCTTTCAAACGTGCTTTAAAATTAGTGCTGATAAGCAATATGTCAGATGGACTAAATGTCAGATTGGGGGGAGAGGCAAAGTAGACACTGTGCTTCTAATGGAAACTGCCATCGGACACCTCCTCATATCAAAGGCAGCTTTTGCTATTAGAGCTCCGTAGGGATATCTGACAACTTTCTCTGCCCCTGCCCCTGCTGACTCCTGCAACTATCTGTTTGTCATATGGCTGCAGTGATTTCATGTTTGGGAATCAGCAGGGACCTGCTTTGAAAAACTGCAGATCAAAGTAGAACAAAGCTGGGTAATTGCGCCTCATGTCACATGGGACATGGGCTAGGAAGTTAAAGGAGAAGGAAAACTTTGTGAAATATCTCCTACCCCATTTACAGATACAAAGTCAAAGTTTCAGTAGAGATTTTGAATTAGGAGGTATTAGTAATACTGACATTTCTTCTAGAATTAACAGCTGTGGTGGTTTTAGCTAGAGAGAAGTCTATTTAATCCATTTTGCAACTGGAACCCAAAGTCTGATTTCTTGTGGTTGCAGGAAACACGACATTAAACTGAATGTGTTGAGAGCATGGAGAGATTAGAGGGAAATTCATACATTCCTTTCTGATTTCATTTTCCATGTTTCATGCACAGAAATATTTCTAAATATAGAACAAACCAGGCATAAATAGTTTTCTTTTTATGCCTAACAGTATTTTTCATGCCCTGCATAACAAATAACTGAATGAGAATTTTTAACTTTTCAATTAATATAACAATTATCCTTCAAGATGGCAGACTGGTAGCTGGTCGGGAGTGTTTCCCCCCGCCACTTCAGTCTGGTTTTCTTTTCTTTTCTTTTTTGTTCTTTTTAATTTTGTTTTCTCACTGTTCTCCCTCCCTTGGTGAATTTCTTCATTAGTTGCTGGACCACTTTGAAGTTGGTCGGAGGCCAGTAAATTTTTACTTTTCTATTTTAAATTCCGCCTATACTTTTCCCATCTTGAAGGATACTAATATTACTGATTTAAATTGTTGTTTTTATTGTTTTATGATATTTTTACTGTAAGCCGCCCAGAGTAGATGTGGTTTAAATGGGCGGGATATAAATTTAATAAATAAATAAACAAGCTTTGACAAAACACGTTTTCTGTTTTAGACCCATACCTGCCAGTGCTTCATATATCTGTTCTGAAGATGGTTCTGCATGGTTTTGTAATAAAGTGTAGACAGACATAACCATTCCAGGAGTACAAAAACCACACTGGGAGCCATGGCATTTAGCAAGTCTTTCCTAGAAACAACAGTAATGACAAAACAGCAAAATATAAACCAGCCATTAAAGAACACAGGATGTTACCATTACCTGGGACTGTTGTTCCAACGAGCTCAGAGCTATTGAATTTCAGAAGACACAGATCTTTCCCAGCACTAACTAGAGACACTCGGGACTAATCCGTAAGTAGCTCTTGGCTGAATAGGGAGCCCTCCCCTTGTTGCGGAATGAAGCAGCCCCTCCCTAGATCTAGCAAGTGGGGCATGCTGCCTATAAAGCACTTCTCTATCATTCTTGCTAGAGCCCTTGCCCATTCAACTCAGATGCTTCAATGATAAAATCTATAACCTGCAAATCTGTTCGTATCTGAAAGAAAGAAACCAGGCCATCATTTGCTCACCTGAACAGGATGAATCCTGGATTTGGTGCTTCCAATACCTTCAACAGTTGTGACAGCTGTGCCATGCAATGAACAGATGGGTATTAGGCAAGCATTGGCTGAATAATACCTTGAGATTATAATGAAAAGAATCAAGGGCTATACAGTCAGTTTTGGACACTGTTACGTGGCAATTAAAATCTGGGGATGAGTTAGGTATAATAATGTCGTACTTCATTTGAGAAATCTGTGAACTCCGCAGGTCCAAACTGGGCCTATTATTGCTCTTGTGCAAATGCTCTGAGTGCATGTATCCCGGCAGACCCAGCAATGAGACTGACTACATGGGTGTTGAGCTTGCTGTTTGATTCAATACACTAGGAAAGGGCTGGTTTGCTCTTAAAGATGCCGATCAGAGGATGTCTTTGCTAGACTGAACCAGCCCCCACCCCGAGCGGTCCTAGTGGCACTACTGTCACAAGGCTTCTACTATTTTGGTGTGGGTAGGCTCAATCTGGTTTAGATCTAACACAAGCTTTACGAGGAATTCAAGGATGTAATGGTATTAAAAGCAAATTGGGGAAAGTCAGAATGTTTATTGTTAAACCACTCAGATAAGGAGAAAAGAAGAACGAAAACAATATTTGGAGGAATAATGGAAAATGTTATTAAATATTTCAGGATTAATATTACCTGGAACTTACAGGATATACAGTGGTGCCTTGCATTACGACGTTAATTCGTTCCAGCGAAATTGCTGTAGAACGAAAACGTAAAGCGAAAATAAAAAACCATTGAAACGCATTAAAACCTGGTTAATGCGTTCCAATCAGCTAAGAACTCACCGTCCAGCAAAGATCCTCCATAGAGACGGCCATTTTTGGGTGCCTGTGCAGCGAAAAATGGCTCCTAAACACAGCGGGGAGCCATTTTGAGCACCCGGTGTCCATTTTGAAAACCCGACGATCAGCTATTTTGATCGTCGGGAAGCAAAAATCGGTTCCCGAAACAGGGAACCGATCGTCGCGCAGCGAAATTCCCCCATTCAGAACATCATTTTGCGATCGCAAAAACCTCATCATAATGCGGATTTGTCGTTAAACGGAGCGCTCATCTTGCGAGGCACCACTGTAATTAAAATAAATTTGGATAGACTGAAAAAAGAGATAACTGGACGGATAAAAGATTATCAGAAATTAAAGATTTCCTGGTTTGGTAGAGTAGCATTATGTAAAATGAAAATTATTTTTAAATTAAACTTTATATTTTGGACGCTTCCTATAAAATTACAGAAAAACAATTGAAAGAATGGCAGATAATGATAAATTGTTACTGTAATGGATATAAATGAATGAAGATAAATAAGAAATTATGGTATGTAACACAAAAAAATGGAGGTCTTGGATTACCCAATTTAAAATTCTATAGCAAATCGACTCAGACATATGCCAGATAGTATTAAAAGTAATAAAAATTTAATTTGGACAGAAATAGAAATGCAGGGTAAGGAAGAAAAAATTTAAAGTATATTGCTTAAAGAAAAGACTGGAGAAGAGATTTAAAAAGATTACTAACCCTTTCCTTAAAAATATTTTAGAAAACTGGAAAAAGTTTAGGGGTGTATTGAGCCCACTGACGTCTCCCTTATCCCAGGTTGTGCATTTAAAGAATTTTCCAGAAAATCTTTTTTAAAAACTCTTAAGAATATATTAAAAGATAAAGGGATAAATAGGATAAAAGATGGGATGGAGAAGAAGATAAAGGAAATATAAAAGAGATTTTGGGAGGAGAGGGGATTTCTTGGTTTAACATGATTCAAATAGAAAGGTGGACAAGGGAATGGAAAAGTAAGGAAGGGAAAAGTAGAAAAATGACAAAATTTGTAGAGATTATTGAAAAAAGACTGAAATTAGAGGAAAAGAAAGAAAGAGAACTGTAAGTGAAATATATAAACTATTAAGTCAGGCTGAACAGGATACACAAGGATTAAAAGCACAGTGGCAACATGATTTGGATAAAGGAGCAGTAGGAGAAGAATGGGATAAAATGTGAGAATTATGAAGAACATGTCTGTAAGGATAAAGGAAAATTGTTATAAGGTAATATGGAGGTGGTATTTGAAGCCGGTAAAACTGAATATAATAAATAAAAATTTAACAGCACTATGTTGGAGGTGTAAAAACAGAGAAGGGGATGTATTTACATATGTGGTGGTTACGTGAAGTAAGAAAGAATTGTAGCAAAATTTTAAAGAAATAAGAGAAATAACTGGATTAAATATTCAAATGTCCCTGTCAATGGCTTTATTGAACATGGTTAAGAAAGATCAATTGCTGAAAGAAAATAAGGATTTAATTGTAATAATGGTTACGGTAGCCACATTTATATTTGCAAGAAATTGGAAAAATGATAACCAAATTAATTTAGAGGAATGGTATAGAGGATTATGGGATATGGCAATTAATGATAAATTGACACGTGATATGAAAATACAAAGAGGCCTATCAAAAATAATGATTTTAAGAAAATATGGAGTGTATTCCTGGAATATATATTTCGGAGATGAAAGGGGTATATGCTGATGGAAGAAACAATGAATTTTTGGAGAGAAAATGGATTGAATGAATTTTTAAAATATTAATAATGCAAGTCCTGAGGGTGAAGGTGGCACTGGTGTATTATGTAATTGTATTTTATTGTGTTGTTAGGTTTATGTTGTTCAGGATACTGGGGAAATTAAACACTGCCTTGGCTCTATGAAGGGGCCAACGAAGTGAGGAAAAAATTATTTAAAGTGTATTAAAGTTCCAGTCAAGAACTTTCCTGATACAGCTATGGACTCTTGAACAGACCTTTAAGAGAAAAGTAAAGGGGGAAAAAACCCTGCTTGCCCCCTCCTGTTTTGTCTTTCATTGTTTTAAAGTGATACAGTGCATATGCAATGCCCTAACACACTTTAAAAAAATTCTTCCACTTACTTGGACCTTCCACAGACTCTGCTGTTTAGACTATGCCTATCTAGACTGTTCCTGTATTCTCCTGGTATGAACCATCAAGCTGGACTGTTAAATTTTGCTACTAGAGCATATCAGGTCCTAGAACAAGGGAAATTATGGATTAAACAACCATCAGTGATACAATCACAACTACATGACAAATGTCATGTCTTGCTTGGCCTTCAACTATTCTGCAGTATTGCAGTAAATACATAACTGTAATAAAGACCTGGTATTATTGACATGTGTTAAATTTGGGATAAGGGTATACTGTACATTCTGGATAAGACTATGTATAAAATGTTAAGAGTTAAATCCAGTTATCAGTCCTAACTAGAGGAGAATGAATAAGACTGTTAAATCAACACTGTTGTAAATCCCCTTGTTCTAATGTATCTACTCTAATGAGGACTAACAATTAGACTTAGTCCAAAGATCTTTTGCTGTCATGAAGACAAATTTTATTTCAATAGCGAAGGTCTTAATCTAATGCCCTTAAGTCTGTTGACGCTGGAAAATATTACAAAGGATACAGTATCTTGTTAGAAACTGGATTATGCACGGATATCATTACGGTGCAGGCACCACAGCCCCCACTTCCACATCCATACTTTGTCCCTGTGAGACAGACTGAAAGCATGGCCGTCAAGGAAACACACCATTCATAAATCAATATAACTTCACATGCCAATGAGGAAGTTCAGGCTCCAAACAAATAGCCTTTGAAGCAATTAATGCATCTGGAGTGATTGATTTGCTAGCTGCAAATGAAGTTAAACATAATTGGCAGTGGAACAACATCCCCCAGCGGAGCTTGTTAGTATCAACGCCTTTGTGGGAATCATGTCACTTGATTCTGTTCTTATATACATGTTCCCTAAATTTACTCTGAAGGGTTGGATGATCCTCAAGAGGAGATTGGTGGGTAGTTTGGGGTAAATCAGTGTAGTTGGGGGAGGAGGTATATTTTTATTTTATTTTCATTTCATTAGATTTAAACCCCGCCCATCTAGACCAATGGTCAACTCTGGGCAGTATTACAAAATTTAAAAACAATAGAACCATTAAAAATGCAAAAATCCAAGATGTTAAAATGTAAATATTAAGATATAGCAGGAGGGAAAGCCTGCCTAAATAGCCATGTCTTGTTTACTTCTAAAGACACCCAGAGAGGGAGCCTCTACAGGCAAGTTGTTCCAGAAGCAAGTATAAAGTTCTGTTACATAAGTCTGAATTAGCAATATTAAATAACACTCATAGTACATAAATTTCTATAAACTGATATGATGACCTTACACATTTAGTACAGACCATGCTGGTTGCAGACAAGAAATGCAACATGGTTATTATTATTATTATTATTATTATTATTATTATTATTATTATTATTATTATTATTATTATTATTATTATTATTATTATTATTATTATTATTATTATTATTATTATTATTATTATTATTATTATTATTATTATTATTATTATTATTATTATTATTATTATTATTATTATTATTATTATTATTATTATTATTATTATTATTATTATTATTATTATTATTATTATTATTATTATTATTATTATTATTATTATTATTATTATTATTATTATTATTATTATTATTATTATTATTATTAACTTATATGCCGCCCACACTACCTGAAGGTCTCTGGGCGGCTTATATCCCGCCTATCTGGTCGGATCAGGACCACTCTAGGCGGCTAACAACATAAAACATACACTAATGCATTTTGTTGGACCAGCACGGACCTTAGCAACACAGAGTACATTATTCTTGGGATACTTCCACACATTATGTTTTTCAGGTGGGGGGCTATGATCTATATCCAATGTCCCACTAGCAAACTACCACTAGCAACTAGCATGATCAAACTTTCTTGCCACTGAAGCCTTCTGCACTGCCTGATATTTGGCTTTAAAGGGTTCTCCTGTTCCCCAGGGCTGATTTTAAGGATGCATGATTTAAGGATTGTAGTAACGTGTCATCTGAGAGAAGTGATTCTGTCAGTAGAACTAGCCCTTGGATTTCTTCCTGCCTGGACTCAGAGTACATGTGCAATCTGTTGGTGATCCAGTGCTCAGCCTTATCTGCGTACTGTACCTTATCTGTGCACTAAAGAAAAAGATATGATTCTTTCTCAAGTAGGACAACAATGTTGTTTCTGGATCAGCATTCTTCACTGATATCTGCAAAAATGGAACATCGTAATATTAATTGTAAATCCACAACAGCTTTCTTCATTTTTATTTGGTAACATTGTTCCAATTGACATCCTTAATTAAAACTATGAGTGCCTTTAGAATCCTCATGTTCACCAAAATGTCAAAGCAAAGCATCTGTGCACCAGTAGGCTCTTCAGGAATCTCAGCATCATCTTTCAAGTGAATGGTACTCAAAGGGCATGTGCAGAATATATTACCCAAGCAGCACAGAGATCAGCATCTGCAAAGTTGCATTTTTTTATACCAAGCGGGGCCAGTATATACCAGTGGCTCTAAAGGTGTTTCAGGCTAAGTCAATCAACTAACTCCTCTATGGTGCACAATTAGGACCTTACTCCACATTTACACTTTTGGAAAGGGTCCAGACAAGATTCCTGGGAGTGATCTTTCAGGTATCTGGAAGTTGAGTCATAGCAACTGGACTTCCACATTGGTTTAACTTCCCCCTGGTCTAAACCAAAGTGGAGGATACATCAGGCATCTCCTGCCAACTCTCCTCAGACTGAAGAAGCTACTTGGAAGAGTAGCGAAACATTTCAGCTTCGTAAGAAAGAAGTCCAGTTGCCATGACTCAACTTCCAGATAACCTCACCTGGATGACTGAGAATCTTCAGAGATATATCCTTCAGGTACCACGTTGGGTCTCTGATGCAGCTTTGAAGCTGGAAGTCAGGCTCTTGAAAGTTGAAAGAAGGATTTGGATATCCATTTTTAGCATCTAGCTAAAAATGAAACTAGCTTTCTTCCCAAGATAATCACCAGTCAGGCTTTGTCAGTCAGAATGTATGGGTTTCTGGAGGGCTGTATAATCCACATGGAATGTGATGCAGCAAACACTGTATTGTGGAGGTTGAGTTAGTGCCTAAATGCACTGCCATCTGCCGTACACGAAGGGAAGGATAAGAAGACTCCGTACTTTCAACGCACATGGCTTTGCAAATTGGGTGCAACAGAAACAGTTACTCGTGTTCTCTTGCTTTGCACTTTTTACTTTGATATTTGGAGAAGCTTCATTGAGCCTCATTTAAAATTATTTCCTGGGTGCTCTGAGGCATTTTATACCCTTTTAATTTTGTCAGGACATAACACAGGCATTTTATACTATGTGGTGAAAATTTTAGCAGCTGTTATTAAGGAGAAGGTTTTAATGAATTAATGATAGGCTTTAGCTACCAGTGAGAATCCTGAAAAGAGATTTGAATCAGCAGTACTTATCACTTCTCTTAGAATATTTTTAAGTCTTACATATACACTTTTAATATAGGAGAATATATATTTATTTTATTTGTGTATTTAGATGTTGGTCTTTGACTGTATTAAAGGTGACTTGACTTGAATATCTACCTACAGGGGAAAAACAACAAGAATATGCTTTTCGGGAAAAGGAAAATACATGAAGAATCTCCGTTTCCTTAGAGAAGGACTACACAGGCAGCACAACCCTCCCAACCTGGAAAATGGTTATTATCTCAAAATGTGAATGAACAGCTTCTCTCATACAAACATTTTACACTTCCTCATGCTCCTGCGCAAATGTTACAATCCAGAGCATCTTAGTGGATGTAGCAAATTATTAGAGCTTAAAACTGAAAATTTGCCATAACTATCAAATTGGACAGAGTGGAAGATAAATAAAAACATGCTTGCCTTTCAGTTACACGGATTAAGCAGGACTGAAGTTTACATAGGACAGTCATGTCTAAAAGTACTGTATGTGCTATAACCTGGGGAATCCCCAGTTCAAATTTTATCTCAGGCACAAACTCACAACAAAACATTTGGTAAGGTCCCAGGATCAAACCAGAAAGAGCTCTGCCTGAGAACCCAGAGCAGTGCTGCTGACCAAATTAAGAATACTGAACTAGATTGACCAGTAAGGCTGGCTTGTTAAACAGCTTCCTATATTCCTATATGAATAACTCATGCCCCTTGTGTACTTTTTTCTAACTCTTGAGAATAGACATAGTGATTTTACCTAGTGTTGTGTTAAAGTCTGAATACTATACTGTATTGCTAAAAGAATGCATTCAAGAATACCACTGCTGAAACTTGACATTAAAAATTGCACCATATACAGTAACATCAGTAGAAGACAATCACATGGAGAAAACGTCCCCAACTGCAGTTGCCATACATTTAATAAGCAAACACTTATTGGCTGAAATCCTGGTGTGACTTCAATAGGTCACATCTGGAGAAGGCTCATTTGAATCAACTGAAATGATGGAGGAGTTGGCTCACCAAGTCACCACTGATTCATTAGGCTACTCTAGTTCAACTTACTTTGTGAGCAACAGGATTTCAGTCATTGTTCTAAACCAACATTTAGCTACACATCTTATAATTAGCAATCAACACTGTTAAGTAGGATAAACATTCCAAAGAGCCAGCAATATTTAAAACTAATAAAGTTATAGGCAATACAAGACATTGTTCCACCTACAGATTTTTTTTGAAAGCCCGCGATCCTTCTTAGATGGTTTATAAGCAGCAATGAACATGCAAAGGATCCTGTTAGCTGACTTTTTTGTTAGCTGTTTCCAAAACACATACCTTTTCCCCATTAATGAAAAATACCAATTCATGAGATTCTGTTGCTGCATGGAGAGACATTATAGAATCTGAAATGTCTAGACTATAATAGGAAGATAAAACTTCTCTTTCTACTCTCAAGCACGTGATAAGTACATGACCTGCTCATCTAATAAGTGTGCATCTACCATGGGGGAGGAACTTATTACTCTAAGGAATATGGGTGGAGACAGCAGCTGAGAGAAGACAGCAAGGCTGGGAAATGAAAAGTTGTTGGATTGCAGCTCCCGGTATTGCCAATGGTCAGGAATTAAGGGATGACAATCCATCCACAGTGTATTCCCCATTCCTGTGGAAGCACTTACCACTGCCCTGTCAAGCTGTTTATAGAGGTGAATGTGTTTTATCAGCACTAATAAACAGCATGTAATCCTGTTACATGGTGTTTGTGGTTTCCAGTGTGGTGCAGTAGATAGAGTGACAGACTAGGAGTCGAGACCTGGGTTTGAATCGTCACTCAGGTATGGAAACTCACAGGGGAATGGAGCTCCTCAAATACCTCTTTTCTTAAAAGCCCTTTTAGGGTCATTATGAGTCAGCTTTGCCTTGACAGAACATAACTGTGACAGCTTTATGTACTGAACCAGTCTTATCCAGACAAAAATAAAAACTAAAATTAAAGAGAGTATTGTGGCACCTTATAGAATGCTATATTTTAGCATGAGCTTTCATGGATACATTCTTTTCTTCAGACAAGTGATTGAACTGTTCATCCTCGAGGTACCACAACACTTTTGCTGCCTTTTTAGGGCAATGTGTAGCATAATTAACTTGTAAGTAGCCCAGAGTGCTTGAAGCCCTATGGGGCAGTATATAAACAGTATATAAGCAGCACACTTTGCTTTTTGTTTATTTGCTTCGTTATTCTTTTTGTCCGGATACAGTTGCATAGGTAAACAAGGTTACTTCTCTGAA